GAGTCTCATATACAGTTTGTGGAAATGAAAACTGGTACAGTTTTCAAGAAAGAATATGTTATGTATAATTCCATTTATATAAAATTCAGAAATAGACAACAGTAACCTATAGTGTTAAAAGTCAAGATAGTAGTTACGTTTAGAGAAGAGGATGAAAATATTGACTGGGTAAGGATGTGAAATAGGCTTCTGAGTGTCTTGAACTGTTTTTCTTTTATTACTTGTTTTCCTATTTCTTGACCTAGGTAGTAGTTTCATGGATTTGTTCGCTTCATCATAATTCATAAAAGACACATCTATAATTTATGTACTTTTCTCTAGACTTCAATAAAATAGTTCTTAAAAAATTAAACACCTATTCATTTATAAAATGAATAAAAATGAATTAATTCATATGTACTTTAACTATGTATATGTTAAAAAACATATAGAATTCAGGACTTTAATAGGGAAACACTAGAGGCATTAGTACTAAAGTCAGGAAGGAAGCAAGGATGCTTATCCTCTCCACCACTTTTAACACTATAGGATTTTTAGTTATGTGGTTAGATAAGTACAAATCACTAAAAGAATAAAAATTGAAAAGGAAGAAGTGAAAGAGTCTCTATTTTAGATTATATGATAATGTACTTGGCTTGCCTAAGAAAATCAACATTAAAATGAATACCAACAATAAAAAAATTTAGAGGATAGCATGCTAAAATGCAACCACAGAAAAAATATCCTCTTAGAAGAGTCAACGAAGAGAAGATCCCATATAAAATGGCAACCAAAAATTCAAAATAATTAGCTCTAAAATTAACAAGAAAATCTATATATGGAAGACTTTCAAACTTTCTGAAAGATATAAAAGTATACTTGAAAAAGTGAAAGGTATTCTTTGCTCTTAGATGACTCATTTTTTTCTGTTTCCTGTTTCCTATTTTAAAAAAATTTTCTAAACCTTGAAAACTTTATGCTAAATGAAATAAGCCCAACATAAAAGGCAAATACTGTATGATTCTACACATATAAAATATTTAGCATAGCCAACTTTATAGAGGCAGAAAATAGACTGGTGTTTACCAAAAAAAAAAAAAAAAATCCTAGTGTCAAATGCTTATATCAGTAAAAAATTAAAAATTTTCTTCTTTTCATGAATGAAACCATAAATTTCTCTCTTGATGAAGATTCATCTGTATTCCACAAGTTTCAATGAGGTGTTTCTCTTCTTTTTTATTTTATACATTTCGCCATGATTTCTTCTTTGCCATCAATTATTTAGAAGTATATTTTTTAGTTTTCAAATATTTTTGTCAGTGACTTTTGATTTTATTGTTGTTAGTGAATATAGTGTCTATAATTTTGATTCTTGGTATTTAATAATTTAACAGATATTTATCAGATACCTTTTATCCTTAGATACTGTTCCAGGTTCTAATGATATGGTAGTGAAAAAGTCACCCTACTTCTGTGCTTTTTATGGTACTTACATTCTTATATATATAATATATAATTTTATGAAATATAAATTAATATATATTTTTTTGGTTTGGTGTGGTCAGATATGATTGCAGAATGATCTTGTTTTTGTCTTCATACATCATGGTCACAGAGTGACCTTGTCTGCTATCTCCTGGGTGTCAGGGCTGCTTTTCTCTTTCTCAGTTCTCTAAGTAATTCAAATGTCTTTTCATATTTGCTGTATTATAATCTTATATAATTATCTCCATGATTTATGACATTTTGAGGTTTAGTATTTTATATTTTGTGATCTACTGAGGCTACTGCTAGTAATGTTTTACAACCATTATCTTTCAAATGTTTACTTTGAAAATATATAATAGCATTGTTACTATGTCATTAAATCTTTGGGCTCAGATTATGAAAGATTATATTATTAATTTTCTGGCTTAAGTCAGATATTCCAAACTTTTTGATTTACAAATTTTGTTTCCATATACTCTATAGGAATTTGTTCTTATATACTGAGAATTGGTTTTATTGTTTATCAGTTTCTCTGATATGTAAAAATATAGATTTGAAGTTAAAACATATTTTAGTATAGTATGCATATATATATACATATATACATATATATGTATACATATAAATTTATATATATAAATTTTATTTTAAGAAATATTCTTTAAATTTATACTTAATTTTGACTTTTTAAATTTAGAGTCATTATGCCATTTATTTTAATTCAGTATGTAAAGATGCTCAAATATTTTGTCAAATCAGTTTAAAAATTTATTGTGTATGTGCACTAGGAGAAGAATGTACAATCTGGTGTTATAGGATGAAAGGTTCTAAATGTTGATTATGTCCAATTGGTCTAATGTGTCATTTAAGGCTGATATTTCTTTATTGATTTTCTGTTTGGATGATCTGTTCATAGCTGTGAGTGGGGTATTTAGGTCCCCTGCTATCATTGTGTTTTTGTCAGTTTCTCCTTTTAGTTCTGTTAGTAGTTACTTTATAGATTTTGGTGCTCCCTATCTTAGAGCATATATATTGATAAGTGTTATGTCTTCTTGCTTTATTGTTTCCTTTATCATTATGAAACGTGCATCTTTGTCTCTTGTTACCTTTTGTATCTTGAAGTCTATTTTATGAGATGTAAGTATGGCTACACCTGCTTTTCTCTGAATGCCATATGCTTGGAGTATCGTTTTCCATCCTTTCGTTTTGAATGTATATTTATCCTTGCAGCTGAGATGTATCTCTTGAAGGCAGCATATGGTTGGGTTTCGGTTTTTGATCCAATCTGCTACTTTATTCCTTTTTATTAGTGAGTTCAGTCCATTTACATTTAGGGTGGTTATAGATATATGAGGCTTTCCTATAGCCATTTATCTCTTGTTTCTTGGTAGCTTGGTGCCTCCATTGTTTCTTTTCCCTTGTGTTTCTTTATTTTAGTTTGGTGGTATTCTATGATTTTTACCTCTGTTCTCTCTCTTTTTATACTAATGTTCAAAATATATACAGACTCATACAATTTAACGACAAAAAACAATCCCATTAAAAAATAGGCAGAGGACCCGAACAGACACTTCTCCCAAGAAGACATACAAACAGCCTACAGACATATGAAAAGATGCTCAACTTCACTAGCTATTATGGACATGCAAATCAAAACCATAATAAGATACCACCTCAAACCTGTTAGAATGGCTATCATCAGGAAGACAAATCATAACAAGTGTTAGAGAGGTTGAGGGGAAAAAGGAACCCTCATACATTGCTGGTGAGAATGTAAACTGGTACAGCCACTCTAGATAACAGTATGGAAGTTTCTCAAAAAAAATTAAGAATAGAATTACCATATGACCCAGCAATCCCCCTTTTGGGTGTCTATCCCCAAATTCGAAAACATTTATCTATAAAGATATATGCACTCAAGTATTCATTGCAGCATTATTCACAGTGGCCAAGATATGGAAACAACCAAAGTGTCCTTCAATAGATGGTTGGATAAAGATGTGGCACATATATACAATGGAATATTACTCAGCTATAAGAAAAGATGAAATACTGCCATTTGTGACAACATGGATAGAGCTTGAGATTATCATGCTAAGTAAAATTAAGTCAGACTGAAAAAGTTAAGAACCATATGATTTCACTCATATATGGGATATAACACTGAAAGTAATAAATGAGCAAGACAAACAAACAGAGACTCATGGACATGGACAACAGTTTGGTGGTTACCAGAGGGAAAGGGGGAGAGGGAAGGTAGATAAGGGTAAAGGAGGTCAACTATATGGTGATGAAAGAAAATGTAACTTTGGGTGGTGAACACATAATGCAGTATACAGATGATATATTATCGAATTGTACACTTGAAAGCTATATAATTTTATTAGCTAATGTCACCCCGATAAATTTAATAAAAAAACTTTGGTTTAATAACAAAACATTTAAATATATGCTGTACCTTCAAAAATAAAATACATTGCTTTCCTGACCCTGATGTTTGAAATTTTGATTATTTCCTGTTAAAACTACTAGCTGGTCTATTACTTTTTGTGTTCTGTTATAAAATTTTGAGATAAGTGATTAGGTCTCAGGCTGCTATTAGAGGAATAACTTATAACCACCACTGTATTTTCTGTTTTATCACTGTTTTTCGCTTTTTTTTTTTTTTTTTTTTTTTTTTTTTAGAATTACTGAAACATCACACTGTATAAGAATTTCAACAAATACTAGTAGATTTCTAGAAAGTCATCTTAAGGCAAATCCATGGGAAATATTATCACTATTTGAACATTGGTCTATTTTTATCCTTCCTGATATTTTAATCAATGATAGGTTAAATTTAACAGAATGAAATAACTCAGAATATATTAAAGTAAAAGTCATTCAGCACTGTTTAGCTGAATGACTGAGTTTTTAATATGATCTTATAATTATCTGTTTTCAGATTCTTTTATGTTAAAATGAAGAACATATATTTTACTTGTCTTATTTATTGATTTATAAACAAATATTGACCATTTTTAATGATGTGACTCTCTAGAATACCTTTGTGAACTTCTATGGGTTCATAAATCTGAGTTTGAAATGCTGTTATAAGTCAAAGAAAAGAGGATTTGATATAGAGAAAACTGATGCCAAATTTATGGCCACATTTTTTAAGTGCATAAGATGGAATGGAGTTATACATAGTTTATCAAACTTATCTCATTTAATCCTTTATTTCATCTTTATTTTCTAGCTCTTGTTTTATTTTAATTTTCTTATTTTTATGTTGTGTTATGTATATTTTCATTTCCTCAATTCCTCTTTGGAATGTGGCATATTTAATTGGTAAATGTTTATATCGAAGTAGCTTATTTGTCAGTTTTTTTAAAATGAAGGAAAAATATTCAGGATCTGGAAAAATTGGTATTCTAAATAAAGTTGTATTATGTAGTATGATTTTGCTTTATTGTATTACCATTAAACTTTATTTAGAGCAAGTTAAAATTAATGTTAGAATTACAAAAAATGATTGTTCTTATGTTTTCCAGCTGCTAATAGGTTATGAAAATGGTACTGTAGTATTCTGGGACTTGAAATCTAAAAGAGCAGAACTGAGAGTTTATTATGATGAGGTAAGTTATTTCTATTGAAATATTTGAACAAGTATTGTGACTTTGTACTTATGTTCTACTTTTAAGCTTTGTATGTTACCAACACTTTTATCATTGGAAAACTGCCTAGTTATGACTCAATGCCTCACACTGACTATTGTATTTGCACAAGTTCCAACTCTGGGTTGTTCTCCTGAGTGGGAATTCTGCCTTGACTGCCCATTATTGGGCACTTTTTGGCATCCTTTATATATTTGGCATCTATTACCCGTACTGTATCTCCAGCTGCATCTGAACTCCTTTTCCTTTCTTTAGGCTTTGCGTGCTTTTGTCCCGACTCATTGTCCTTAAGGTCGCTAAAGACTCTATTTACATCTCCCTTAGAATATTCTTTTCCTGTGGCAGAAAGTTTAAGTAGTCAGTTTGAATGCTCTTATCTTCTAATATTTGCCTTCTTAGCATAAAGTGAGATTTTGTAAATAGTAATACTTAATAATAAGACTCAATAAGATCTTGAAGTAGGTTTTATTATACATAGTTGAGACTAATTAGAATTTCATTTAGAGAAAGCAATGAACTTTTCATCAAGGAATAGTTTCTGAAGTGATACTTCAATTGTTCAGAAATTAACTCTAGGCCATTAATTATTTCCCCTTTCAGAAAAGACTAATGAAGACAGTGAGGCTGGGGGCAAAAGGCGGGAAAGGAGAATTCTCTTTTGTAGCTATGAAAAATAAAGTTGATCATCTATATTGTCAATTAAATTCTGAAACGGGTAGAGTGAGGAGAGATAGGAGGAAATATAGGTCAAAAATTGCAGTGTAGTATCACCCACACTTAAATGGGAAGAATGCTAAAGAATTTAAGGCAAAACTGATATAAAATAGAAAAAGAAATTTAAACATTTTTTTAGAACCCTTTTTTTGTGTGCTTCCTCCTTTCCTCTTGTAGTGGTTTAATTCTTAAGTTTTGTGCTTAAAGATAGCCAAAGGTTTATAGATAATTTGGTCATGATTGGTGAAAGATACTCTGGCAAATTATGTTATATAAATATACTCTTTATGATGAACTTGGGGGGCATCTTGAATCATAAGGAAAGAAGGTCGTAGGGAGCCAAGCTAGGATTTTCCTTTTGTTAAATACACAAAATATAAAGATGTGGATGGAGATTGCTCCCTCTCTCAAGACTGGTAGCTAGATAATAGTCCAAATACCATCTGTGAATTTAGCCAGTTGGAACTAGAATAGAGCTAAAAAGGAAATCTAGAGGAAAATATGGAATCAGCTGGGTTTCCTATGGCTTTAAATAGTGTAGAAGGAACATTTCTAACTTTGAAAAATGAGCAAAAATAATTTTTGAAATAAATGTTTAAATAAAGATTAACAATGTTTAAGTAAGTCAGTAAAATACTACACTAAACCTATTTTATACCTAGAAATAATTTTAAATATTGATTTATACGATATATGTACCATTTCTTTGCTATCTCACCTTTTCAGTATATCTTTTACTAACAAGATTACCATTTTCAGACATAGTCAGATTATGTAATTCTCTACCTCTGAACCTTTGAATGGCTTCCAATTGTCAACAGTACAAAGTTTTTATTTTTTGATATGAGATTTAAGGCCCTGGTACCATCTTTTTTCTTCAGTTAATCCTTCTATACACTCTTTACATTTCAGACATGTTATTCACTATCTCCTAAACATATCATTTATTACCACCTCCAAGCCTTTGCTCCTGCTAATTTCTTATCATGAATTCCTTTCTCTTTGGCATATTGAAATCTTATAAATTCTTTAGCCACTGTAAAACTATTTGGACTATCTAACTAGTCCCTTGATTAATAACCACGATGGATTGAGAGTTTTTTTTATCAATCCAAACTCATTTTCAAAAATAACTATATGAATTTTACTTCCACATCAGCTGTGAAATTTTTGTTTTATTACGTTAATATTTCTTAAACAATCTCTCACAGAGAAATCTCTCAAGAATTTGATATGAGGCTAACCTTTTAATTCCTTGAGTAACTGCCATTTCTCTTTTTTTTCGTATTATCACCCAGCTTTTTGGGTTTCCTTTTTCTTTTTGTTTTCAAAAAATTCAATCACAGCCACTGAGTTGACCACACTGGCCAAATTCTGTTTTCTATCTTTTATAATTCTTCTTGAATTAGTTTTATTATATTTTGCTTTTTAGAAGACCCTTAAGGTCCTTTCTAAGAAAAGAGTAGGGTATAAACAAATAGAAATTGAATATTTATTCCTTAAATTAGTTCAAATCCCAGCTTTCAATATTTCCACTATTTGACATCCTCCTCTCTAGTAACTAGTTGGTTTTACATATCTACTCTGTACAATAGTTTTATAGTACTTATTTGTTATGATTTTGTGTTGTAGCTATTATTTTTGTATCTATTTTCTCTAGTAGGTAGAAATTTTCTCTATTATTTTTGTATCTATTTTCTCTAGTAGGTAGAAATTCACTGGTATAGGAAGAAGGGTTAGGGCTGGAGACATTTTCTCTGCTCCCACTGTTTGTAAAAGGCAGTCTGAGAGAACTTTAAATTGACTAAGGTTCATCCAAGTTAACATGTAGAGGAAGCAAAAAGTAACATTTCCCTCGAGCCAGCTATAACCATGAGAAGAAATAAGCAAAGGAGAAGATAAAGAAGAGTGTTCTCTCCCTCCCCAACTGCGTCTTGAACCCTGGCAAAAAATAAATCTTCTCTGCCTAGTAATGAAGAACAGGGTGAGAGAAAAACATGTCTAGAGTTTCATGCTATTTTTTCCACTTAATTAAATCTTATTTATCTTTTCAGGTACAGCTTGTATCATATTTCCTTTACGATATGTCTAATGATTACTCTAGCTGTCAATTAGCTGTAACTCTAATATTACTTATTGTTTGGAAGTTCATACACATTAGTCTTTTCTGTCTCACTATTTTTTTAAGTTCCTTTAAGGAAAGGATCATGTCATATTCATCTGTTCAGCTTTTATGTCTACTATAGCTTGTCCCATAGTGCTTAGTACATTATCCAAGTTCCATATATTTAGAAAAAATACCAAGGATGTGGGCATGTATGATGACATTAATTGCTTGTTCATTCAACATATATTTTTTTGCAAGACACTGTACTACCACTGGGAGTAAAACAATTTAGGAAAATGGAATAGTACTTCTTAATTCACAACAACAGAGTGAACTTGTAAATATAAAAAAAAAATTGTGAACTCTTCTTGCTTCAAATCAATTTAAATTGTTTATGTTAGAGGCAATATGGTACAATGACTGAGAATATGTGTTTGTAGTTAGACCTTGGCTCTGAGTTGTGTGACCTGAACAAATATCTTTCTAGGTCTATTTTGCCATGTGTAAATTGGAGAAAATAGTACCTGTTTTATAATTAAATGAAATAATGTACATAAAATGCTTACCATTGGTCTGGCGCATAGTAAGACCTCAGATGGTAGCTCTTATGTAAATTATTTTTTAAATTGACTTCTTTAAATGTAACTAGGCTACTACCTTATTAGAAATTACCTTCTGATAACCTTGCTTTTATTTCTATGTAAATAATTTTTCAAGGAAGCATTATAGGATACAAGGAGGACATAGAACTTATAATAAAAAGTTCTGGGATCTAATGCTATTAAGAAATTTTCTTTATTTCAAGAGATGAGTTTTTGTATCCTTTTATAAGACTGTAGAGAGCTAAACTAAAAATAGTGTCATCTAGGTCAAAAAAAATACATATGTTTCTTAAGTGTTATTGCTATAGTAATTTTATGTTATAATATTTTTCCTTTGGAATATAGAATGATATAACATATCAACTTTTCCCCTCTCTGCTTGTTTTTAATTGTTATTTCATTAGGCTATTCATTCAATTGATTGGCACCATGAAGGCAAACAGTTCATGTGCAGCCATTCGGATGGCAGCTTGACTTTATGGAACCTGAAAAGCCCAAGTCGTCCTTTCCAGACCACAATTCCGCATGGTAAGACATATGCTTTCAAAAGAAAGAAACTAGAATTACAGTGCCTTCACTTAAAGTAGGAGAGGCGGTATCAGTGTGTTTGGTAGAAAGAGGTGATAGAACATAGCTTCTGATTCTAAATACTTCTTTTATACCTCCTTCAGATCCCCTATATTATGCCCTAAACTTTCTGTGCTTCCCTTCTTCCTGTCTATTCACTTTCCTGCTTTGTAAGTGATATTTATATAGACCCTTCCAACCAAAATTAGATAATGGATGGTTAATGTATCTGAAGCAGAGGATGTATTTGGCCAATTTTAAAGGTTAAGGAGCTAGTGAGAAAATGGCATTACCTAGATCTGACTTTCAGACCTAAGTCCTGTAACGCTTTATAATCTGTTGTTTTCTAGTTTCCCCATTTATTTCCATTTTTGCCATTTGATTCCACTAAATTATGACTGTGGTATTCTTATAGGTTGTATTTATAATATCTTCCTCACTGAAAAGAGGTATTTAGCATTTATGTTGGATCTGTTTACCTAACTGGGCAGAATAAAAAGTTCAATAGTATGAATATCTTTTATTCAGATGACCATATTATCTCCAAGAATATTGGTGATGATCTGAGTTCCATGTTTACCTCACATCATTGGTTGTTTCTAGGAACAGAGAGGTCAAAACCTTGCAGTTAATCAAACACATTCTATCTTATAATTTCTGAGCATTTTTTATAGTGTCACACTTTAAAATAAGTGGTTTTGTATAATGAGTGACTTATAAATCACTAGTTAAAATTATTCATCTTGTGTTGGTCTGTCAATTTTTGTACCACAGTTGCATGCTGCATCTGTAAATGATTAATGTATTTAACCTCGCCGCTTTACTTAGAGATTACATTTAGACACTTTCTTGAGATGCTTTATTTAAAGATTGCCATATGGAAACCTTGATAGGTATTTGCTATACATCCACTCAGGTTTAATTATTCATTTGTATGGTGGGTTCCCTTCCTCTCCACCTCTGCTATAAAAAAAAAATCGTTATGTCTTTTGTTTGCAAATGTGCAATAAGATTTATTCATAAGTTTTCTTTTTATTCTCAACAGTCAACTTCTATACAAGTTCTTCTTCAGTTGATTGGATATTTAATCCTTTCACATGTTTTACCATATCCATATTTATTTTATTACTTTGGGTTGTTTTCTTTAATTTTGTTTTCCTTTTAAAAGAACTGTAGTTCTGTTCACAGTTTGTTGAAAACATCGACATCTGTTTCTCTCATAACATATAAATCAAATTAAATTCCTGGTGCCTGACTATGACATAATTAAGTCAGTGTCAGTGATTTTGGTATCCACGGTCATATCTATTTATATTCTTTGGGTTCATTTTGTTCCCTTTAATTTAGCTGTTTTTATTTTCTAAAATAAAAAAATTTTTCTAAATGCCACTTCAGCTGTATCCTATAAATTTTGATATGTAATTTCATTAATATTATGTAAAGTTTCATAAATATTCAGTTTGAGGTATTTTCTAATCCCTATTATAATTCTACTTTTTACCTATCAGTTATTTAGATATGTGATTTCTAACTTCTAAAAGTGTTTATAGTTTTTACAATTAGTCGTAGTCAGAGACTGTGGCTTTGTACTAGTTCTACAGAATTTACTGAGATATGCTTTATAACTAGACATACACAATTACTATAAAGTTCCAAGTGTACTTGAGAAGAATGTACATTTCTTAATTGTTACACAAAGGTCAAACTTGAAATTTTGTTTATTTTGTACTGTTTAAATTTTTGCATGTTTTTGTTGTTTGATTTTTCAATTCTGAGAGAGGTAAATTAAAATCTCTATTATTATGGATTTTTCATTCTAATTCTCTTCCTTCCTGCTTTACATACTTTAAAACTCAAATAGGTAAAGGTGTTTAATAACATTAATCAGATCCTCTGTGATTTTCCTGATATATGACTAGTACTATCAATTTCTGAAAGAGTGGTATTAAAATTTCCTAACATGATAATAAAATTGTCTACTTTTCACTTTAATTTTCTTTTTATTAAATTCATTGGGGTGATATTGGTTAATAAAATTGTATAGATTTCAAGTGTATAATTCAATAATATGTATATTGCATTGTGTGTTCACCACCCAAAGTTAAATTTCCTTCTGCCACCATATATTTGACTCTCTTATTTTTTCTACTACGCATTTTGAGTCTTTATTATTAGACATTCCTTATGTCTCTTATAGAGAGCATATAGATGGGTCTTGCTTTTTTTTTTTTTTATCCAGTCTTATATCATTTAGTTGGAATATTTAGTCCATTAATATTAAATGTAATTACTGTTGGGTTGGATTTAGGCCTACCAGTTTATTTTTTGTTTTCTATAGGATTGATCTATTTGTCTATATTTCTCCAATACCACATTGTTTTGATAACTGTAATTTTATATAAGTCTTAAAATCCTCATAGTTTCAGTATTTCCCCTTTGTTCTTCTTCATTATTGTATTGGTTTTACTGGATCTAATGCCTCTTCATATAAACATTGATATCAGTTTGCCAATGTCTACAAACTAACGTGCTTGGATTTTGATCAAGATTGCATTGAATTTATAGATCAAATAGGGGTGAACTGACATCTTGACAATATTGTCTTCCTATCCATGAATATGAACTATCTCTCCATTTATTTAGTTCTTTGATTTTACTTATCAGAGGTTTTTCGTTTTACCCATATAGATCTTATATTTTGTTAGACTTATACCTAAGTATTTCATTTTTTAGGTGCTAATATAAATGGTATTATATTTTTAATATCACATTTAAAAATATATGAATAACTCATACAACTTAACAACATAAAAGCAAACATTCCCATTAAAAAATGGGCAGAGGACCTGAACAGACACTTCTCCCAAGAACACACACAAATGGCCATCAGACCATATGAAAAGATGCTCAACTTCACTAGCTTTTAGGGAAATAGGAATCAAAACCACAATGAGATACCACCTCATGCCTGTTAGAATGGCTATCATCAACAGGACAAGTAATAAGTGTTGGAGAGGTTGTAGAGATAAAAGAACCGTCACTTACTGCTGGTGATAGTGTAATTTGGTACAGCCACTCTGGAAAATAGTATGGAGGTTCCTCAAAAAATTTAAGAATAGAATTACCATATGACCCAGGATTCCCTCTTTTGGGTATCTACCCCCTAAATTTGAAAACATGTATCTGTGAAGATATATGTACCCCGATGTTCATTGTGGCTTTATCCACAGTGACCAAGACATGGAAACAAATTGTCCTCAACAGATGATTAGATAAAGAAGATGTGGTACGTATATACAATGGAATATTACTCAGCTATAAGAAAAGATGAAATACTGACATTTGTGACAACATGGATGGATTTTGAGATTATCACGCCAAGTGAAATAAGTCAGACAGGAAAAGTTGAAACCATATGATTTCACTCATATGTGAGATATAAAACTGAAAGACAAACAGAAACTCATGGACACAGACGACAATTTAGTGACTACCAGAAAGAAAAAGTAGAGAGGGGAGGTAAAAAAGGATAGTGAGAGTCAAATATATGATGACAGAAGGAGACTTAACTTTGGGTGATAAACACATAATGCAATATATAGATGATGTATTATTGAATCGTACACTTGAAACCTAATTAATTTTATTAACCAATGTTACCATAATAAATTTAGTTAAAAAAATTTAAACTAGCAATTACAATATAGAAATAAAAAATTTCCACTTATTTTTTGCTGGTATATAGAAAAACAATAGACTTTTATATATTAAAATTGTATCTTGCAACCTTGCTATAATCACTTCTTAGTTACAGAAGATATTTTTGTTGATTGTTTCAGATTTCCTACATAGACGGTTGTGTCATTTGCTAACAGTTTTATTTCTTCCTTTCCAATCTGTGTGCCTTACATTTTGTTTTATTCTCCTATTTCATTAGCTAGGACTCTAGCATAATCTTGTAAGGGAGTAGTAAGAGGGGACAACCTTGCCTTGCTCTTTCTTAACTTTACTAGGAAAGATGTGAGTTTCACCATTAAGTATAATGTCACCAGCAGGTTTTTTGTAGATGTTCATCATCATCATGTTGACTAAGTTTCCATGTATTCTTAGTTTACTGAGAGTTTTTTATCATAAATGGATGTGGATTTTATCAAATGCTTTTTCTGAATCTATTTGTATAATGCGATTTTTCTTTTTTAGCCTGTTGATGTAACGGGTTATATTAATTGGTTATTAAATGTTAAACAAGCCTGCATACCTGGCATAAATCACATTTAGTCATGGTATAGAATTCTTTTAATACATTGTAGGATTTAATTTGCTATTTTGTTAATGATTTTTACATTAATGCTCATGACAGATATTGGTTTGTGTGTTTTTTTTTTTTTCTTTTGGTAATGTTTTTGATTTGGGTGTTAGAGTAATGCTGGCCTCATAGAATGAGTTAGGAAGAATTCCTTCTGCTTTTATCTTCTGATATTGTAGAGAATTGTAGGGATTATAAGAATATAATTTTTTACTTAAATATTTGGTAGAATTCACCAGTGAACCCATCTGGGTCTGATGCGTTCTGTTTTGGAAGATTATTGATTATTAATTTAATTTCTTTAATAGATATAAACTTGTTCAGATTGCCCATTTCTTCTTGTGTGAGTTTTGGCAGATTGTGTCTTTTAAGGAATTAGTTCATTTCATCTAGATTTTCAAATTTGTAGGCATAGAGTTTTTCATAGTATTCCTTTATTCTCCTTTTTATGTCATGGGATCTTTAGTGATATCTACTCTTTCATTTCTGATATTAGGAATTTGTGTCCTCTCTCTTTTTTTCTTAGTTAACCAGGTTAGAGGCTTGTCTATTTTATTGATCTTTTCAAAGAATCAGCTTTAGATTTTCTTGATTTTCTCTGTGGGTTTCTTGTTTTCAATTTCATTTATGTCCACTCTAATTCTTACTATTTTCTTCTGCTGTACTTGGATTTAATTTGTCCTTCTATTTCTAGGGTTCTAAGGTGGAAACTTAGATGATTGATTTTATATCTTTCTTCTTTTTTAATATATGCATTCAATGATATAAATTTTCCTCTAAGCACTGCTTTTGCTGCATCCCACAAATTTTGATAAGTTGTGTTTTCATTTTCATTTAGTTCAAGACATTTTAAAATTGCTTTTGATATTTATCCTTTGACTTTTGTATTATTCAGAAGTGTGTTATTTAATCTCCACATAGAGATAGAAAGCTGGGAGGAGCATCATTACCACTCATATAACAACAACAAAAAACTAGACAAACTGCAAATTAAAACTTTTATTGAATTCATCAGAGAATTAAGGAGACAGAGCAAACAACTAACTTAAAATCTGGGGAGAAAAAGGTGCCTACAGGGAGAACAAGTACCTGCCTTTGCTTGTCTAGGGCAGATACCATTGGATGCCACTAACACCAGAAAAAGCTTTAGCAATAATTTTTTTAAATGAATTTTTAAAGCCTAAGTATGGGCTAATTTGAAAGTATGAAGTAGTCTAGGGCTACAGACATAAGGTCTGTGCATGGTCTTGTAGTATTTTCATCTTTTAAAGAAGTTGACAAAAGAAAATAGATCCAGTATACATATGTGTGTGTGTGTGCGTGTGTGTGCGTGTGTAGAATTTGTTATGTTAACCTTTTTGCTTATCATTTGTGGTTCTCTTCTTTTTCTGTGGATTCAAATTACCATTTGGTGTCATTTTCTTGTTCTAGTATAACTTTGTTCCCATCTATCTTCTTTATGTTGTTATTGTCAAATGTGTTATATATCCACACTATAATTATGTACATATTATTTTAACAATTGCTTCTTAAGTCAGTTAAGAGAAGATTGGAGAAGAAATATGCATTTATGTTGTCTTTTGTAATTATCTATGTAATTACCTTTACCAATACTCTTTGTTTTTGGCTCCATTTTATTTTTCTAATAAGAAAGTCAGCTGTTAATCTTATTGGGGCTCTCTTGTATGTGATAAGTCATTTTTCTCTTGCTGCTTTCAAGATTTTCTTTTTGGCTTTTAGCATTTTTACTGTGAGGTATCTGTGGCTCAATATTTTTGCTTTTTATCACACATGGAGTTCATTGAGGTTCTTAGATGTGAAGATATTGCTTTTCATCCAATTTATAAAGTTTTCAAGCATGATTTTATGAATGTTTTTTTTTCTCTTTTCTTTCTTCTCCTTTTCGTACTCCCATTATGCATATGTTGGTGTGATTAATGATATTCCACATTTAAGATTATTCGTTTTTCTTTCTTCTTTTTCCTGTTTTTTTTTCTCTCGCTGCACTGTTGCAATAATCTCCTACTTATTTTTCCAGCATCAGTATCTTATGTCCTCAAAATTGCTCTAGTAAATGAAGCCTTATTAACATTTCTAAAATATTTCACTTCCCAGCATGAAAGCTTCCAGTGACCGTCCATTGTCTATATTGCCAGTTTTATAGATTGCCAGTCTGGCTCCTTGCACCTCATTAGCATTATTTTCACTATTCTTTTACATGAATCTTTTAATCTACCCAAATTGGCTTATTCATTATTCCTTCAACACACTAGGCACATTCTGTCTCCATATCTTTTCTTATGCTCTCTTACCCAAATTCTATCTATTAGTGCTCAGTCTAGCCTTTAGGTAAAGTTTTTTGTAGAACTCCATAAAGTCTTCTATTATAAAAGGAAACCACAGTTTTATTCTCATCTTTTACAACACTTTATGTCTATCACTCATTTGCTTATGGTACCTCATATTGTTGTTCTTATATTTGTTTTGTTTAATTTAGCAAATTTTATACTTCTCGCTGGTCAGTTATTTCTTTGTACCCTGACACTTAGTCCAATACTCTGAACATAAGGATTTTCAATAAATGGAGTTGTTGATTCTGATTTTTACACAATATGACATTTAAGCATATTTTAATTATTGACAGGAAATAAATATAATCACAGAAGTAAACCTTTACCCCCAAATTAATTTTGGAGTTGGACATTGAAGTAAAATGTTAATTATTAGATAATTTTTTTCCTACTGAAATCAGTACATAACACCGATGTGTACTGATTGAAAAATAATAATTGGTTCCATAAATATTGACAATATGACATATACTGTTTTGGTTAATTAATGGCTTGGCAATTATTAGAGAAGCACTGGATGAAAAAGACATCACCATGAAAAGAAAGGATCTCTTTTTTTGGCTGTGTCACTTTGTTCTTTCTATTCTCATTCATTACCAAAACCAGTAATCAGCAACCAGCTAAGCTATTCTTCCTCCCTAAGACAACTGTTCAGAGTGAGTCCTTGAGCTAAAGTGTCTCTTCATAAAGCAATTTTGGAAAGCATGTCAAAAGCTTGCTTTGAAAAAGCAGATAAGGCATGTTGTAAGCTGACACCCTGCCCTTTAAACAAATTAAATACAACTATCATGACATTCTATTTGGTTTTGGCTATGCCACTCCGAAGCTATCCTGAAAATTTACACATATATGCATGTAAACACCTCCTTATATAATAGGTATCTATGTCTATAAACAATTGTAGCACTACAAGAATAAGTAAGGGTAATTACTAAAATAAAAAATATATATCATCAAAGAATATCAATTTTATCAAAGTGAGACACAGAATCATAAGCAAAAGAATAAATTGAAAGATAAGTATGTTAGATGCAGAAGTAGTTTTCCTTCCATTTCATACTTTTTTTGATTCTTTATTCAAAATCTTATGGAATCTAAAGAACATAACACTTCCCCTACAAGAAACTATTATTTTTTTATGCAAATAGATACCATCATTAAAATTACTTTTTAAAATCATGAAGTGTATAATCTGTGTTCCTTGTCTAATGGACTTTCTTTAATGAATTTGATGAAAATGCAATGGTTTTGGTAGTCTATCATAAACTTTAAATAGCGTTTTTCTGTATATGAAAGAGGTTTGCTTGTATTACAGATAAAATTTTTAGCCTAGTATGGATTTTCATAATAATACATTTCATTTTGTAGATAAATATGTATATCTTCAGTTACAAAATTATTTTATATTGAAACTTAATTAAAATAACCTTACATGAGACTAGGTTTATACATGGAGAATGTAAAGCAATACAAATTTGATAAGTTCACAAATAACTTTATTGATTACATAGCAGTCAATTGTTAAGATTCAATAAATTGTTTACAAATTTAACAAAAATATTAGGATACATAAACATGTGTTTATCCTATTATAAAAAAATACATAATTACATTATCTTTTTTCTTTATATTCCTTTAGTAAAACTTTTTAATTCTCATGGATGAGTAGAATTTAAATCAGATCTAATAAAATCCTTTTCCTTTCTTTAGGAAAAAGTCAAAGAGAAGGAAGAAAATCTGAATCATGTAAACCAATTCTTAAAGTAGAATACAAGACATGTAGAAACAGGTATGCATTTTTACTTTGGGAGATATGGGAAAATATATAAGAAACAGGCAAGAAAGACAGATAACGTTTAATGTTTATGTATTTTTAAAGTTTTACATAATTATATTAACTGGCAGAATCCTCTATATTAACAGTAAAAGATTTCTCATTGTCTAATAAGCATATCTATGATTATCATTATTATGAATATTACAAATAACAGCTGTTTATTATTTTAAAATTTCTATGAATATTAAGATGAGTATTATATACATTAATTTTAACAATGTAGGACTTTTTGGCAATGCACATTGGTAGTAGCAGTCATTTAGCATTGTTAAGCAGAGCTATTTATTGGTATTGCACATGAAGGAATTAAATACATAACCAAGCCTCTGTACTTCAGGATCTTAAATTCTGAAGTTGGAAAGATTATAATTAATTTGAAAGATAAACAATTACGTATGTTGGCATAATAAAATAGTATTAAATTTTATATAGAAAATTAAAGAAAATAATATTTAATAAAATTCTCTCATATGTATAGCAACCATATCTTATACTGCAACAATATTCTATTTACTTCCAATAATTATTAATGGTAATATATTCATCCAAATTACCATAATTCCAAATCTTGCTTAAATTTAAATTTTATTATAATCCTAAATTGGACAATCCTACTTTGTATTACTTATCTGCTCACACTAGAATTTTTTTTGGTATTATAGGTATACTTAATGTTGTTTATATTTATTCTAAAAGTTTAATACAATAACATTATGGTCATTTTTAACCAGTATACATATGTAGTTTATTTATATATAAAACTTATACAAAATACATATATGTATATTTGTGCAGTTTGTTAGGTGTATTAAAATGGAAAAGAATACTGCCTAATTTTGAATCTGTTGTAGTCTAGTAGCAGAAGTAAGGCCACAAACTTGTGGTTTCTATATAACATGTGAGGTACTTTCATAGAGACATACTATGAGAGCACAGCAAAAGTCACCTAACCCTAGAGAGAGTAGAGAACAGTGAAGAGAGAGATCAGTGAAATTCTTCTTGGGAAAGGAGATGCCTGAGATGGTACTTAAGGAATGATAGTTTAGTAACAGGGAAAGGGAGGAAAGAAGTGGAGAGAGGGTACTTGAGGAATCCAGAATTCAAGTCAAGAGTGTAAAGTAATGGTTAAGGTTATTGGCTTATAGAGTAAGACAGCTATATGACATTGAACATTTTAACTAACTCTTTTAAACTCTAAGTTCCTCATTAACTATACTTATCTAATTGTGCTGGTTGGGAGGATTAAATTAAATTATGCATAAATTTGTAATGTCATATATTTGATGACTGGTAAATAGGTTTTTAAAATTTTGTCTCCATTTTATTTTTATTATTTTTTATTAAATTTATTGGAATGATATTGTTAATAACATTATATAGGTTTCAAGTGTACAATTAATATAAAATGCCATGTATATATTACACTGTGTTCACCACCCAAAGATAAATTTCCTTTCATGAAGTTTTTAAATAATATTTTTTATTTTTCAGTTATAGTTGGCATATAATATTATATTAGTTTCAGGTGTACAACATCTCTATATATCTCACAAAGTGATCAGCCGAATGAATCTAGTGCCCCTCTGATACTGTAGATGATTATCACATAATTTGAGAAACATTAGAAATAAAAAACATGGACTTTTGGATTTGGATTTGAAGCTTGCCCTGCCACTCACAAGATGTGTAACCTGAATAAGTTATTTACTCTGCATGAATCCCAGACTCCTCATCTACAAAATGGGGCTAATAGTGCTTTACTCAACTGGGTTGAGGATTACATAAAATTTACTTTATATGTGCTCATGGCACAATATATGCCAATATATTGCCAATATGCATGGTAATCATTCAGTAAATTGTAGCTACTTTATACTACAGGCAGTACAGATCACTGCATAGGCGAATAGGCTTTGAAGTCTGATCTGTTTTCTTTTGGGTTTTTCTGCTTAGTTATTATTTAACCTTATTGATTAAATGAGGACAATACTAATGTGGATTTAATCTGATAATTAAATATCTAATGCATTATCCATGAGTGGTTCCCTAAGCGTTTCCTGAGTAAATAACTTTTTATTCAATCATTCGGTAGTTTAGAGAAAAGTGCACATATATCAACAATTAAATTTACACACAGTGTTTTCTGATTCAGAGCCATAATGAGAGCAGAAAAAGTTTGCTCTTTTCCAATATTAGAAAGGACATTTTTCCAATGTGCTTACAAAAAAGAGGGAGAGTAAATTGCATCTTATCCTATGTTTGGATTAGTACTAGGAGGTGAGAATTAATTTACTCACTTTTACATGGAAAAAATAGTTATTATCTTTATTAATATTTGAAGCAGATATTAAGGTCAATAAGTATGAAAATATATGTTCTCCGAGTTGTGACTTTTGTTGCAAAACAAAGTAACAATCAAAGGTACACAAAACCTATACTCATTTCTTTAGAAATGATTTAATCTGGAGAAGTCTTCTTACTAACATAAATATATATTTAGAAATAACAAAATTGGTCCTTTTTTATAAATTAATTAATTTATTCTTTATGGTGACATTGGTTAACTAAATTCAATAAGTTTTAGTTGTACACTTAAATAGTAAGACATATATATATTTAAAATGTGTGTTCACCTCCCATAGTTAGATTTCTTTCTGTCACCACATATTTGACCCCCTTTACTCCATCTATCTCCCCGCTCCTTCCCCACTCCCACCCTCTGCTAACCACTAGTCTATAGTCCATGTCCATGAGTCTCTGTTTGTCCTGTTCATTTGTTGCTTTTAGGTTTATATCCCACATATAAATGATATCATGTGATTTTCAACTTTTTCTGACAGGCTTATTTCTCTTAGCATGATTATCTCGAGGTCCCTTCTTAGTTTAGAACCTCCATACTGTTTTCCATAGTGGCTGTACCAATTTGCAGTCCCACCAGCTGTGTATGAGGGTTCCTTTTTCTCTGCATCTTCTCCTCTCCAAGATATTACTTGTCCTGTTGATTATAGCTATTCTAACAGGTGTGATATGGTATCTCATTGTGGTTTTGCTTTGCATTTCCCTAATAACTAGCGATGTTGAGCATCTTTTCATATCTTTGTAGGCCATTTGTATGCCCCCTAAGGAGAAGT